CCCAGTCCTTCCTCCCTCAGATCTAGGAATCCAGGCCCCCAGCCCCTCCTCCCTCAGAACCAGAAGTCCAGGCCCCCAGCCCCTCCTCCCTCAGACCCAGGAGTCCAGACTCCAGTCCCTCCTCTCTCAGACCCAGGAGTCCAGGCCCCAGCCCCTCCTCCCTCAGATCTAGGAATCCAGGCCCCCAGCCCCTCCTCCCTCAGATTCGGGAGTCCAGGACCCAGTCCTTCCTCCCTCAGATCTAGGAATCCAGGCCCCAGCCCCTCCTCCCTCAGACCCGGGAGTCCAAGACCAGTGCCTCCTCCCTCAGTCCCAGTGTCCAGACCCCCAGCCCCTCCTCCCTCAGACCCAGGAATCCAGGCCCCCAGCCCCTCCTCCCTCAGACCCAGGAGTCCAGGCCCCCAGCCCCTCCTCCCTCAGGCCCAGGAGTCCAGGCCCCAGTCCCTCCTCCCTCAGACCCAGTGTCCAGACCCCCAGCCCTTCCTCCCTCAGTTGGGCCCTGTTCTGCTCACGTTCCCTTCAGCCTCGCTCCCTTCCTGCCTGCGGCCCTGGCTGGCTCCGGCTCCCCTCCCGTGACTGGAGACCCCAGTTCCTCTCTCACATCCTGTGGGAGGGGAGGCTGCTGCTCCCTGAGTCCAAGAAAATCCAGCCCCACCCCCCAGTTGCAGGGCACACCCCAGGCCCCAGGCCCAGCCTGTTTGTTTCTCAAAACGTTTGTGGTTCTTTTTTTCTCCTTCTCTATGGTTCCTGTTTTTTACTTGGAGGGTGCCCACCGCCCAGGGAATTCTTGACAGAGCTAGGAAAGGAACTGGACACTCCCGGAGTCCACAACTTCGAGGTCTCTGGATCCTCCTCCTGCCCCTTTGTATCTCCGTGGCCCTCTCCAGCGCCCGCTGTTCATCAGAACATTCTGGAAGCCTCCATAGTGCCTCCTTCAAGCCCTCCCCCCGCCGCATCCCCTTAAAAAATTCCTGCAGGTGCTCTTTAACATCCTTCTGATAGGGCTTCAGTGGCCACACGGTCCCCATTCGCTGCGGCCCCCGCCCACACTCCTGCTACAAAGCTCCCCATGCACTTGTTTCATTGTGGTAAAATATTCAAAATATTTATCCTTACTGGCTGGGCGCAGTCGCTCACGCCTGTAATCCTAGGACTTTGGGAGGCCGAGGCGGGCAGATCATGAGGTCAGGAGATCGAGACCATCCTGGCCAACATGGTGAAACCCCATCTCTACTAACAATACAAAAATTAGCCGGGTGTGGTGGCGCGTGCCTGTAATCTCAGCTACTTGGGAGGCTGAGGCAGGAGAATAGCCTCCGGAAATTGAACCCCGGAGGCGGAAATTGCAGTGAGCGGGATGGTGCCACTGCACTCCAGCGTGGTGACAGAGCGAAACTCCGTCTCAAAAAAAAAAAAAA